GCTGAACTCGCAGTCGCCGGGGGTGTCGGCGAAGTGGAGGGGGCTGGACCACCGGTACCGGAAGCGCTGGCTGTCCGCCCACGAGCACACCTCCGCGAGCTCGCCGTTGGCCCACGACGGGAGGAGAGCCTTCACCCCCGTCGACGCCTCGCTCGTCAGGAAACCCTGCACGGAAACGGCACCTCAGCTCAGCTTGCCGGCCTCTACCTCCGGCGGCGGTGGAAAAAGACGATGGGTCGGCGGTTCACGTACGTCGGCGATCTTGCAGGTCATGTAGTGGCCCTCCTTGCCCCACGCCAGCGCCGCCGGGGCCCTCGCCGCCACCGCGACGAGCAGGACGTGAAGCAGCAGGAGCAACCCCATCCTAGCTCAGCTCAAGCTTCGCCCTCTCTCTTTCTGCGTCTCTTGTTGATGTGTTGCTTTCTTTCTTGTCTCATCTGCCTTGTGTACTGCTCGTCTATTTATACTTACAACAACCTGCCAACCAATGGCCGCGTTCTGGACTTGGAAGATTCCTTCATCCGATCCGATGCCTTTTGTCCCAACAAGGCAACAACAACCAGAGGAGTTTGAAGCCCTGAAGGTCGTACATCCATGTGAGCTGATGGCTGGAGTTGCTTGCGCCATGTGAGCATCTCCGGTCATGATGCGCAATTATGCCGGCGTGGTTCACATGTGCGGCACGCAACAAGCTCCCATCCCTATCCGCTGGCTCCGTTTCACATTGCAATGGCAATGTCAAGGAGGGATCAGACCAGAGCAGCTGCTGCCACGCGCGCAGCGCGCTTCTTCTTGCCCACTCCCAACGGACGAACGCCTACTGCTCCGGCCGGTTTCTGAATTCTGATTGGCGGCATGGTGTGTACGTGCCGTGCGTGCGAGATTCGTCGAGTTTCAGAGCTCCCAACGATCGATCTCTCTCCCCCGATCGGTTGCATGAAACAAAACTATAGATGAACGACTTGACGATCGACGACTAATAATTAAACAAAGCACCGATCGATCGCTGCTCGTCGTAAACAATCTGAGGATAAGGACTGACGCATTTCACCAACAACAGGCAGCATATGCTGTATACATATTCCGTCAGACAGTGTTTGCAGGGTTCTCCCTATACTTTACAAGTGTCGTCTCCCCCAGGTCGCGATTGCTAAATCAACGGAGAGCAAGCTAGATCAGATCGAGCTAGCCTGCCACTCCTTGTCCACTCCCAACCAACGCTACATGATCCGGTTTCTGAATGCTGACTTGGCACTTGCTCAGCAGCAACAAACGACGACGACTAAAAGAAATGTCTACGAGAGCACCGGTCGATGGCTAGCTGCTCAGCTCCTCCGTCGACCTAAACAATCTGAGCATATCATCAAGAAAATACACGCATGATCTGCACGCTGGTAGTTAATTCCAGTTTCGGATCGGAACAACAGCATGGCTCGTGGCAGCTCTGCAGGGTCGAGATTGGATCGGGAGAACACAACAATGCATGGCTACTTAAATCGTGGTCACCTCTGCCACGTACTACCAATTATTTTCATCACCTTCAGCAAACACAAAACACTGGGCCTGACAGCAGCCGTACGTACTGATTCATACAGTTGATAACCATGATTTGTGATCTGATGAAGCTAACATGCATGGCCAAGAAAGTTTTATGTTTTAAATCTTATTCTACGACTACTCCATAGCTAGCGCAGGCGGCAGGCTAGTCCCTGTATTGCTTGCTTAATTTCTGTCAGACTTCAAAGGCTCTGCAGCCTGCTGTTGTTCTCCCCACTGAAGATCCGGTTGAGGATGGCCGCCAGCCTCACGCCTCCCTGGGCAATCCTCTTCTCAACAACCGGCATCGCCGAGAAGAAATATTCATCTGCATACATACGTGCGGTTTAATCCCAAGAGGATCATAAGTATCACACAGTAAATCGGTCATTACTGAGGTTAACTTGGAGCACCTTCTAAGTTGGAGTACTGCTCAACACCCACGTATGCCGGGCACGACAGCTCCGCGCTCTCCTCGGCGTACCTGCATGCATATGTTCGCTTTCAGCTGTCAGCTTCTGAAGATTCAGAAGTGTATGCAGTTCATGTGAATGCAGATTATCGTGATGAGAGCTTAATTACCTGTCAGCACAAGTTGTTGTTTGTGTACTGCACGCCGCCCACTGGTTCTCTTCGGTGGACCAATTTTCCTGTAAGAAAAAATCCAGTCAGAACTTAAGGCCAATGCTGAAGCCTGAAATGAAATACTAGCTTACAGACAGACTTACAGTAAGGTTGAGCTTGATGGCGTCGATCATGGTGCTTAGGTCGTCCTTGTAGAACTTTCTCAGAGCGTCTCCAACAGGCGCCGAACGCGGCACACGCTAAAAACTGCTGTGCCGCGCGCCCATCGCCTGATTTGGCGCGGCGCGCAGCGCTGCCTCCAGCAGCTACGCTAAAATGCAGCGTGCGTGCCACTCCAGCAGTGCATAAAAAATGCAGCAGTGCGCGTTCATTCTACATCAACATTTTTAATAGATAAAACGATAGATTGCATAGATAATAAAAAAAACGATACGAAGGTATTTTTACATGGGTGCAACTAGATAGATAGTTCGAAAGCATATATAGATAAAACTACGGTGCAACTAGATAGAAACTACTACGGCATACATTGATAGAAACTACTCCAAGTCGCTACCATCACCACCATCATCATCCTCGTCGGGGTCGTCCGAGGTATAGAGCCATATGTCCAACCAACGTTCATCGACTGACGTGAAGATCGACCTCCCACCTGCTGCAACGATATCGGACTGCGCATTCGCCAATGCCTTCCGCCGACGCCGGTCCGCCCGCTTCGCGCGGCGCCTTGCCGTCATCTCCGCCCAGTAGGCACGCTCGTCAGCGACGTCCTCCGGGTGGCGACGGCGCCACTCCGCCATGGCTCGCTCATCGTCCTCAGCGATGAGGAGGCGGCTCTGCCGCCGAGCGTGGTCGGCACGGTCCATGTCGGCGATGAGACGTGGCGGAGGGGCGACGCGCTGCGCCTGCTCGCGCGTGAAGACGTCCTGGAAGTTCATCTACGACTGGGGCCTGTCCAAGCGCCACGCCGCCGCGTCGTACGCGCAGGCCGCCTCGTGCGCGCTCCAGAACGACCCGAGGCCGAGCCGAACGTCGCCGGACCGGATCTCGGCGGAGTACCG